CCGTCATCAGGAGAAGTCCAATCTTTTTTTAAAAAAAAAACACAGCTAAAGTAGCATGAAAAATCACCCAGACAATCTCCTCACCCCACACTTAAAATTGTGCATTGTCCCCAATGCACACCCATACATACAAGAGGGTAAAAGAAACTCCCTGGTATGCCAAAGGCCGAAGCACTAGCAGTTCATGGGGTACTCAGACTTCTCCCAAGCTTGGTCCTTCGTGTGGGTACTTCACACTTAGTTCCAACCATTTGGTTTGCTGATGCATCCTTCCAATACCTTTGCTTTCCATGCTCCTAGAAAATAAAAAAATTAACACTACTAAAATAATACAATTAAAAAAATAAAAAAATAAATAAAAGAAAGCAATAAAGCTGGGTTGCCTCCCAACAAGCGCTTGATTTAACGTCGCGGCACGACGCGAATCACTTTTTGCCTCCACCTCGAGCTTATGAATTGAACCCCCAATTTGGCATCAAGTTTTCGGCTATGCTCCAGGGGTGGAGGAACAAATCTAATTGGTCCAAGCAACCATTGTACTATTCTACACTTCTTGGCTTTTAGATGAGGTATGTAGTCCTGTCTTTCTGGTAAGAAAAATTCCAGAATATAGGCACCTTGTTCTTCATTCCTTGACTTCTCAATCGGCTCGGATGACTCTAATTCATATCGTCATCCAAGCACAATGTAGAAAAATATTTGGAGTGAGGACCAATGCGCTCACACACATGAACTTCAGGACTTTCAGCATCCTCAACATCAATGATACTAGAGTCAACAAAATTTGTATCCTCAATGTCCTTGGCTGACTCTAGTCTCACTTTTTCAACATTAACATCTTCAAATTCTAGTTGGCTAGGTTGTTGATGTTCTGCTTTGACCTCCCCAATTAATACCTCAAATTCATGCTCTTCTTGGATACTATCATCAATATTGGATTGTTGAGCATTAAAAGCTCAAACCACTTGACTCAATTGAGCCTCCAACTTGCGAATAGTTGCCTCTTGCCTTTCGATGTGCAATTGTTTCTCATTGTTTTGTTCCAGAAGACACTTTAGCATATCCTTGGTCTTCTTCACGTCCGCATTCCCAGGTTCTTTGTTCCTATTAACTTCACAAGAAAAGGTGGAACCATCGTAGTAAGGGGTTGGGGGAAAATAAAAAATATAAGCACAACTATGAAGGTGACCATTTTTACCACCACACACATCACACACATTCCACAAATAAGATTGAGTTGGTGCACATAACTCGCTCTTAGGAACGTTTTGAAAATTTCGCCACGGGTGGTTTCCTTCACAATATGTATGGAGATCAATAGTAGAATTATCTACACCTAAATTCCCATAATTACAAGATGCCATGTTTCTCAAATCAACAGTTATAAAAAAAATTTAAAAAAAAAACAAACTAAAAGTTCAAACTTGAACCCTAGCAATATATACAGCTACAACTACACCGTTAGTTCCCCGGCAATGTGCCAAAATTTGATCACGCCCAACTATGCCTTATAAAAAGGACAATGCGGTCGCTGCAAATATAATCCGGTTTACAAGTCCGGAGTCGAATCCCACAGAGAATTATGGTTTAGCTACAACTGTTTACTATCACCAAGAAGACAAGCTTGAACAATTCTTAACTTATAGATATTAAGATTCTTGTGTTTAACTACTTAACTAACAAATTAAAATAGTAAATTAACAACTAACGATACTGAGCGTTAGAGAAAAGATTAAGGAGGTCTAGAGCTATGATTTCCCCTATTGTCGGACTTCTTCCTGCTATGTCTTCTATAATTTCGCCTAAGTATTCTCTACCGATCATGAGCACTCTTATTACCGTAAATCTCTCCCGAGTAATTACGACAATTTACTAGACGCGCTCTCCCGAGCTACGCTAGCTAGCTTTTAATACAGATCACTTCAGATCGCACCCAAGGCTTCGTTATCCCTAATCCCGCCTTTAAAACCTCGGTTATTGATCCCTTATATACTCTGGGAGTGGTGTTGTTCAACAATTACCTAAATATGCACTCTCTCTCGAGTTATGCATACTAAATAGGCACAGCTAATTGAGAGCTCTTCAATCAACCAGAATATAAACGTAGTTGAACAAATAGAGAAAAGCTATGGCTCAATTATATAAAAACATAACAAGAATTTATCCTACAAAAGGTTCTATCAAAACTCTAGATAGCAAATTAGCTATTCATAATAGTATGTAAAACTACAATACTAAAAGTCATAACCAACAATGAAAAATAGGAAGAGGAAGGAAAAACTCGTAGAAGAATTCCCCGCCTTGCTCCCAATGTGTTCTTGCCTCCNGTTCATGGCTTATTTTGGATAGGCAGTCTGCATGGTAATTGGTCTCTCTGAAAACATGTGAGAAAGTGATGTGTTCACATTGTTGGCTTAGGATTTTTATCTTCTGAAGGTGCATGCTCAGGGACCATGGGGGTTCAGAGTCAGAGGTTAACCACATAATAAGGATTTTAGAATCTGCTTCCAGGTTGATTTTGGAGAAACCATTATCAACACACCATTTGATGCCCAGGTTTGCTGCCTCTGTTTCTGCTAGGTTGTAAGTACCCTCTCCCAAGGGGCTGGCAATGGCATGAATGAACTGACATGAGTGATCTCTGATAATAACTCCTGCTCCTATTTTTCCAGGATTCGAGAGGGCACGTACCTTCAGAGTTGACTTTGACATAGCTGGTGTTTGGCTTGGTCCACATTACCTGTTGGACATGAGTGTGCGTTTTGAGGATTCTCAGAAACATGGTATAGGCCAGGCCAGTTGGGTGGCCATTTGATACTGGCATGAGTAGATTTGAGGAGCAGCAAAGAATCAGAGGTGATAGAGTAGAGGGTTCTTGAAATGGATGATGTTTTCCCTCCATATCTAGCAGTACATCTGTTTTTTCACAGGTTCCAACAAATTATAATTGGCATGGTGTCTAGAAGGAGCTTCTGCACTGTGTTTTCCTTTTTTGCATCCACCAGTTCATAAGGTTGATTCTCAGGGATTGGTTAGAACTGGGGATACCAACAGGGGAATTGATGTACTTCCAGATGTTTCTGGCAAAGTGCCTAGTACAGAGGATATGCTCAGCAGTTTCAGCAGCAGGTTTAATACAGCAGCTACACCTTTTAGCACTTGGAGGACCAAATCTGGCAGTTCTATCATCAGTAGGCAGCTTATTTCAAAGTGCCCTCCAGAGGCTGAAAGACCATTTGAAGGGAATTTATTTGTGCCAGGTCATTTTGTTGGTAAGGACTACCTGTTTTTTCTGTCTGATCACAGACCAAGCAGAGGCACAGGTGAATGCACCAGATGTGGAGTGAGTCCAAATTGGTTTGTCTGAGAGGTGAGGATTGAAGTGGATCCGGGTTTGAAGGATGTGGGGTATCATGTGAGCAGGGGCTGTTTGATTAAGCTTCTGGATGTCCCATTGGTCATTACTCCAGAAATGAGAGACTTTGACCTTACCAGGTCTACCTCCCCCCTCTCTGAAACTAGCAAGATGACCAGTCCCCAACCAGTTATTCCACCAAAAGCTTGCATTGCCTGAGTGAAGTCTCCATTGAATATGATTTTCAGCTTCTTTCTTATTGATCATCATTTTCCTCCATGTTTGTGATTGCCCAGAATTCCACTTTTTTGATATGGGATGTGATCTCTTGCAGTATTTTTCCAGGAAGAATTCACTCCATAAGGTCTGCTTTGTTCTGAATAACCACCATTGCTTGAATTCCATGGCTTTACAGACATCCTCAGTGGATCTCAGGATAATGCCCCCTTCCTCCATTGGTTGACATAACTTAGTCCAAGAAGCCCAGTGATATTTGTTTCTATCTTTGTCCATGCCCCAGAAAAAGTTGGCTGCCAATTTCTTAATTTGCCTAAGGACAGTCTTAGGAGGAGAAACTGCAGACAGCAAGTGGATTGGTAATGATTGCAGCACATGTTTAATCAGGGCAACTCTGCCACCATATGAAAGAAGCCTGCCATGCCAACCTCTGATCCTACTAACCACCTTAGAAGTCAGATCATTAAAGTGAACAATTCTCTTCCTACCAATATAGAGAGGGCATCCTAGATAAGTGATAGGAGAATCCTTTCTGGTAAAACCTGTAACCTGATGAATCCTTCCGTTGGTATAGTGGAAAACAGATGAGTCAGTCATGAAGTGACTCTTGTCTGTTCATACTCCTGGAGGATCCTCATAATTTTTATCAGAGATTTTCTGCAGCCAGAAGTGAAAATAATCACATCATCTGCAAAGCTCAGATGTGTGATTTGAGGGCCTCTTCTTTCCATGTAGAATATATTGAAGAACTGGTCATGAGATAGGTTATTAAGCATCCTTGATAACAATTCAGCCCCCATAATGAATAGGGATGGTGCTAAAGGATCTCCTTGCTTAAGTCCCCTAGTAGAATGAAAGAAGCCACATCTAGTTCCATTGACAATCACAGAGTACCAGTTATTGCACATTGTTCTCCACACCATGTCAATAATTTTTTCACTGAAACCCATTCTTCTCATCATAATGCATGTGAAGGACCAAGAAACTCTGTCATATGCATTTGCCATGTCTAGTTTGATCACAACATTGGCACCTATGTTTGGTTTTTTGATGCCCTGGACAATCTCCTGTGCCAACATGATGTTTTCAGAGATGCTTCTACCCTTGACAAAGCCAGTTTGGTTAGGAGTTATGATTCTGGGAAGAAGGGTTGCAATTCTGGAACAAAGGATTTTGGAGATGATTTTATTGATGAAATTACTCAGGCTTATAGGTCTGAATTCAGAAAGGGAATTAGGGAATTCAACTTTGGGTAGGAGAACCAAACAAGCTTGGGTCATGTATCTTGGCATGGGCTGGCCACAAAAGAAGGCATTCACCACATTTAAAAGGTCATCTTTGATTATATCCCAACAATGCTGAAATTTTTTTCCATTGAGGCCATCAGGACCTGCAGCACTGACAGGATTCATGGAGAAAACAATGGCCTGAGTTCCTCCATGGTTGGATCTTTGTTAAGGTTATCATTATCCTCTTCTGTGATCATAGAAGGGATACAAGATAGAAGATATTCCCTTATGGTTCCCCCTGGACCAAAAAAAAGGTTCTGAAAATAGTCACAAGCAGCTTCACCAATAGCCTCATCCCCATAGATCCAGTCACCATCTTCATTTTTTATTTTATGGATGTAGAGCTTTCTCCTCCTACCTCTGATTAAGCTGTGGAAGTACTTAGAATTAGCATCACCATCCTTAAACCATTGGAGCTGAGTTTTTTGCTTCAGGACAGACTCCTCAACTTTCAGGTATTTAACATATTGGGCTGTGAGCTCATGAGCCATTGCTCTATCTGATTCCTTGTTGGTATGGGCCCAGGTTTCCTCAGCTTTTCTAACTTTCTCTTCAAATTCCTTGGTTCTTTGGAAAATGTCACCATAAACTTGCCTAGACCATTTGGAGAGTATAGAGCATAAATTCTTGATCTTCTAATGAAAGACCCACATTGGATTACCAAAGACCTGTTTATTCCAGACTGTCTGAACCAAAGGAAGGAAGGAGTCCTCTACAGTCCAACAATTCAAGAATTTGAAGTATCTGATTGTGTTCTCTGGTCTGACATACATTTCCATGAGAAGTGGAGAATGATCTGATCCTGTTGATGCCAAATGACTGATGGTAGTAGCAAGGTAGGAGGCTAGCCAATTGTCATTCACCATGCCTCTGTCCAGTCTCTTCCAAACAATAGAACATGGTCCTCTACCATTAGACCAAGTGTATCTAGGTCCATAGTAGCCTAAATCAGTGAGCCCACAATCGTCTATCATACTCAGAAAATCCAGACTTTTGTTGATCTGATAAGGGATGCCACCAATTTTTTCTTCAATGGAAGAAATCACATTGAAATCACCAATGACACACCATGAGGTATTAGAGGAAGCAACTTTGGTTCTCAGGCAGTCCCATAAAGGCCTCCTTAAAACTGGCTTGCATTTGGCATAAATGATGGTAAGAATGAATGGTTCTGCAGCCTCTATATGTTTCAGTTCAATAGAAATCTGCTGCTCATGATGGTCAATAACAGTGCCAGAATAATCTTGATCCCAGAAGATCCAGATTTTATTATTGATGTTAAAAGCTGCATTCTGCATGGACATTTGGATTTTATAGTGGTTAATGTGGGAGGTGTCAGGGAAAGGTTCCAGGACTGCTATGAAAGAGGTTTTGTGAAGGTGTTTCAATGTTTTCAGTCTCTCAATGGCACCAGAGGTTCTAATCCCTCTAACATTCCATATGAGTGTACTAATCATTAAAAATGGGAGGGATTTTTGTGTTTTGGTGGCACACTTGTGTTTCCAGCTGCCCTACTTCTTGTGAGTCTTGGTGAGGGGTTGTAGGTTCTGGGAGAGAGGTTTTGGGTATCAATGGCATCAGATTGATCATATGGGCCATTCACTGCATTAACCAACATATCATATTGTTGCTCATCATCAAAAGATGCATTGGTGTCATTTTCTTCATCCTCCATACCTCCACTCATTTCATCTTCAGAATGGATGGGTCTATATTTATCAAATTCAGGAGAGTATTTGTTTGGAGGGCATTCTTCAAGGGGGGTGGCTGCTAGGACACTGGTTGGGATATGAGTGGGCTGTTCAGAAGAAATGTTTTCTGGATTTCTGTTTTGGTTGTGCACTTGCAAAAATGGTTGGGACAAGGAGGGATCAGAAACTGGATCCTTATAGACTTGGGATTTATCAGCAGAGCCTGGATCAGGAGGTCTTTTCAAGATGGCAATTGGACTCTGAAAATTATTTTCTGATGGCTCATTTATACTGATTCCTGAGGCTTGCCTTCTCATGGCTTGTCTCTGCTTTTGGCTGGGCTTGTTTTTGAATTTAAGGGGTTTCACACTGAAGTCAGATGCTGCATGTGCTTTTCCTTTAGCCAGTTTTCTCAACTCATCACTCTGCTGAGCAATATAATCTTCTTCAGAAATGAGCACTTCAACCTCTTCATTTTCAGGAGACTGTTGTTCTGTGGCATTGAGAATAGTAGGGGTAGCAGGGGATATGAAGTCTTTCCTAGGTTCAGTCTTTTGTGCAGAAGCACACTCATGCAGAACATGAGGAAAGCCCACCCCCTTTGGATTCCCTTCCTGTCTAGTCTTAGGTTTCTCTTAACAAATCACCTTTCCTCCTTCAGCTACACCAATCACAGGGGGTATAGGGAGGGGAGGGGTTAAGGGAATAGGTTGATTCTGAGCACCAGAATCTACACTCCTCTCCAGTTGAGCTGGAGGATTGATAGGAGACATACCTGTGTGCTGTGGCATTTGTTGATCAGTGGTTACATCTTGTTGTTGCTGAGCAGTTGGTTGCCTTTATATGTAAACTTGCTGGTGCTTTTTATTTTGGGAGTTACCTTTGAAATTCTTTTTCTTCTGGGTTTGCCATTCATCAGGTGGTACTTCAGTTACCTCTTGTTGGTGCTCTACCTTATTCTATTGTTCTACTGCCTTTGGTTTAGCATTTTGATCTTGTACCCCTTTTTTTGATTTTTCTTGCTGCTTGGTATTCTGTAATTGCTTGCTTGATTCACCCTTTTCTGAAGCCTTTTGCTGAATGCTCATTTGTGGGATTGTTGCAGCAGTTTTATCTTCCTCTTTTTTCCTTTGAATTTCAAGATCCCTCAGTTTAACAGGACATGCTGGCATAGAGTGTCCTAGGTGTCTGCAATTGGTGCAATAGGATGGGACGTTGTCATATTGGATCTCAAGCCACTGCCCATTTCCATTAACATCCTGATTTTCATCATATCCCAACCAAACAACATGAGTTGGTCTTTCTTTGGTGAGATCAAGCTGCATCTTCACTTTGACTACACTGCCTCTAGTTTTCTGGAAGGAAGCCAGGTCTAGGAAGAGAGCTTTTCCAACTGGAGATAAGGAGATAGAATCTCCATGTAGTATAGGTGTCAGGGCAATTCAGGGATCATGATCCATACTGGGACTATGGGGGAATCCTCATTAGGTTTGAAGATAGGATTCCATGCCTCAATTCTCATCATCTGACCTTGAATATACATGTACTGTTTGGACCATACAGTAGAGTGGTCATATTCATTGTCCAAATCAATATAGATAGTTTTGGCATTGAAATGGGAAATTTTAACACCACCTATGAGTTCAGTTTGGGGTATGAAACTTTTCCTGATCAATTCCATCTTGGGCATGATGTTTGTAAACTTGCCCACCATTGTATACTTACACCTGTCAGCAAATTTGATCATGTAGTCATCTTTCTAAAAAATGACTGTTGGTTTTCCTTGTTTGGTAGTGATAACAGGAGTAGAAAATTGAATTGGAGCTTTTTTTGCCTCTTGTCTAGCTCTCATCCTAGTAACATAAGAATGTGTGATTGTAGGGGGTGAGGGTGGGGGATTGACTTGCTGCATGGCTTTGTTTTGGTTGGGATTGGGTGGGGGATTGATTGCTTTATCTGTGTTAGGTGGAGGGGTGGGAATTGTGGTTTCCTGATGGTTGTTGGGGTGTTTTGGTTTTTCATAGAATTGTTTGGTCTCTCAAAATTGGAGGAAATTCTAGGATGTTGACTGTGAATAGGTTTAGGGAGGTTCTGAGTAGCTGGAGGAGGTTGGTTATTTTGGTCGGATTGTAAAGGTGCATTTTGAGATGGGGGGGCAGAGTTATTACCTGGGGGGTGGATTGAGATTGCTGGTACTGGGCTTCAATGTGACTATCAAGTGAAGCAGGGGGATCAACTATGACAGCATCAGATTGGACTAGTTGGCCTTGATCACTTTCAACAGCTGCTGCATTTTTGTCAGGCATTTGAGGGACTGGATTTTTCTGTTGTGGGGCTTTGGCATTGTGAGGTTGCATTTGGGAATTCTGAGGATGAGTGAGTTGAATTGGAACCTCAGGAGTAGATTCCAATTGGCTACAAGCCATTTGCCTAGCTACAACACTACTGTCAGTCAACTGGGGGACAACTGGGAACTTCAAAGGATCAGACAAGACTATTTCTTCAGTGGATTGGGGTGAATTTTGGTAAGTGACCTCAGTGGGGGCTAAGGAATCATTTCCAACCAATAGGATGGGGGAAATTTGATCAGAAAGGGGATTGGCATTTCGTTGAACATCTGCATCGCTACAGTGGCTAGAATTACTATTTCTAATATTCGACGAGATTGGCCAATATAAAATTTGGTTTGATGGATTGGCAACACTCTCCTGGACATTAGGAATCGCTTGGCATTGGTTTTGAATCATTTGGAACGCCTGATCACCCCCAACGACCAGCTGGTGCATACCTGGGCTTATGGAATGATCATGGTTATCGATTCCCATGGTGGAATGAGCTTAAACTTGGCAAGGAGGTTCCTTTGAAGCTAGGAAGAGATTATAATAGCCAATTGCTCTCCAATTGGCTCAGAACCTGAAGAGTCAATTCGTCGAATACCTGGCCTGCTCGAACTGTCAGTTTGCTTTGATTGTAAAATTGAAGCTTGTGTTTGATACCCATGTGAAATTGAAGGTGCAATGATGTTCTCCTCATCAAGGCAAGCATTTTGGTACCTTTCATTTTCCATTTGGACGGCTGGAACATTAACGTCGGCCATTTCTGAAAAACTGGCATTTTTTGAATCGTCGTTGCCGGCGATTCCCACGGTGGAATGGTCTGATTTTTGGTGAGGAAGTGCGCTTTGTGATGATAAATGATCTCCACAGCTTGGAATTTTTAAATTTGACCCAGAATCGCCTTTGGAAATTTTAGAAGTCCCAAGGCAATTTTTTGCTACAGTGATCGCTCCACCAATTTTGAGATTCGTAGCAGTGGGGGAATGTTTGAGGGAAGCGCCTAGTGGGGGTTTGTACTCCTTGAAATTGTGCATCTTTTGGGACTGGTCCGGTGGTTTTTCAACACCGGACGGCGGAGCAACATGCATTTTTGTCCGGCGCTGGTACTGTTCACCAGAATCGCCTGTACGGAGTTCGCTTTTGATATACCTCTACAAATTTCCATGTTTAAATCCATATGTAAACAATGTATTTAACTCACAATGTGGAGAAATCACTTACCTAGTGACGGGTGATGAAGAAGCTCCTTTAAAAATCGCCCCAAGCTCGGCTCCCATGGAAGATTTGAGATAAAATGAGCCAAAACCCATTTTTTGCAAACTTATACACTGCCCAGGCGACCTTCTTTGCGAACGCGTCAAGCCCATCACGTTCGCGAAGCACAACCAGCTCCAGTTCCAAAACTGCTCTTCGCGAACGCGAGTCTAATCTCGCGAGCGCGATGCTTTACCCGGCGAACCTTCGCGAATGCGGTGCACCTTTCGCGAACGCAGAGGCCAAAAATCTCCCAGGTCCAATTTCCCCTTCGTCAACGTGGTGCCCCAATCGCTAACGCGTTTCTTCAACTTCTTACCTTACGCGAATGCGAGGCCCTAGTTGCGAACGCGAAGCACAAAAATCAGCGGCCAGAGATCCTTCTTCGCGAACGCGTGTATCCCTCTGCGTTCGCGAAGAACAAAACCAGGCACTAGATATCAACAGCAGCAACTCAGCCAAACTTGGTCCGAAATCACTCCGAAACTCACCCGAGGCCCCCGGGAACCCGTCCAATCACACCAACCAATCCCAAAACATGAAACAGACCTGCTCGAGGCCTCAAATCACACCAAACAACATCAAAATTACAAATCGACGATCGAAATCCTTCTTTAAACTTTCAATTTCCAAACTTCGACGAACGCGTCCGATCATATCAAAATGTTCTGGAATGATGCCAAACTTTATGTACAAGTCACAAATTACGACACAAACCTATTCCATGGCTCTAAATCCCAAACAGACATCGATAACACCAAAGTTCACCTCAAACCAAACTTAGGAAATTCTAAAACCTTTAAAATGCCAACTTTCCACAATAAGTGCCGAAATGTTCCCAGGTGACCCGATACTCAACCCGAACATAAGCCAAGTCCGAAATCATCATACGAACCTATTGGAACCTTCAAATCCCTATTCCGAGGTCGTTTACTCAAAAGTTAAACTTTAGTCGATTCTTCTAAATTAAAGCTTTCGAAATTAGAATTTTCCATCTGAATCAACTCTGAACTTCTGAAAATT